TCCATTGCCAACCCAAAGCTCAGTGGTGAGGTCCGGCATCCAGGGCCGCATTTTCATGCGGATCACATCGGGCCGTGGTTTACATCCCGAAGAGAGCTCGGGCTGTCTTTCAAAAAGTGCATGCTGTTGGTTTTCGCAGAAGAACTGATGCAACTCACACAGCTCCTCTATGCTTAGGAGTTGCACACATGCTGTTGCTGCTTGCTTCTTGCATCCTTGCAAGAGACAAGCTTCTAAACCTAAAAACGGGCTTGCCGGACAGCATGGCCTCGTGGGCACCCACTTCTCACCAGAGGCTTGAAATCTAAGGCATTGATCGCTCCACTCCGTTAGTCGCGACTGGAAGGATGGACGTGAGATCTCCTGGTTGTCCTGGCTGATGCGCGGCCTCTTGGCTGTTCGGATGGACTCAGCCTGCTCATCCGGCTCCTCTTTGGCCATGGCAGGCGCACAGAACCACTTCATTAAACCCTGTATACACCTAAAGCATCCTAAAGCCTCAAGCCCCAAATCCTTGCTCTTGAATGATACGACCGAAATCCGTAAGCCGAAGTGGCTTGGGCCGCAAGTCCTTCCCAGAGATCAACAAACATAGGCCTTTATCCTTAAAGGGCTCTGCAAAACGGTCCAAACCCCCAGTTCGTGCGCACGGCTTTAGATCGACGTGTAGGCTTCCGCAGACTCTGGGGTCTATGACCCTAAGCCCTGCAAACCCTATAAACCCTAAAACCCTAAACACCTAAAGCCCTAAAACCCTAAACGCCTAAAACCCTAAACCCCTAGAGCCCCAAAACCATAAAGTCTTAAAAACCGTAATGCCAGGCGAGCTTTTGCCAAGTCGGCTGGGAGCGAGACCTATGTCCCGAACTACGCAACTAAGATAACAAACCCTGCCTACACCACAACTCAAGACAAGGCGAATGTTGGACTCTTTGACTGCAGGGTCTCGCGTATAGAAAGCCCCAGTAGCATAGCTACGGGTTTAGGGCTTGGGCTTTAGGCTTGGGTTCAGGGCTCCTTCCGGCCAAACACCAAGGAGCCAAAGATCTTGCGAGACGGGAGTGATGGTGCATCTACGCTTCACCAAGTAGCATCATCGTAGCAATGACAAAGGCTACATGCTAGTATGTGATAACACCTTGAACAGCCCAACTGAACCCTGCCAGGCAACACCGCCGTGCTCTAGCCAAGCGATTCCTGTTGCCCGGCTACGCTTCAGTGGGTGCAGAGTGCAGCTTTCAAGATGTAGGTGGATTGAGTGGAAAGCCTTGCTGCCCAAAGCGTGTTAGAATGATTTGCTGCAGTACCTGCGATGCTCAAAGGCACCCGAGGGTCGTGAATTGGCGAGTGTTCAGCGGACATGGTCGAAAGGCCAGATCTACGGCAGCAGCTCAACGTTGCAAAACCCAAAGCTCTAACCTCACCTTGCGCACTTTACAATGATTCGATGAAGTCTTCGTCAGCCTTCGAATCGATGAACTTGGATGGGAACAGGCACGATACGGCAGCAACGACCCTTGAAACGTCAAAACCTCTAGACTCCATGTCTTCCAGCCTGTGAGAAGCGTTTTCTACCTCAGGCCGCAAGATCGGGAAGCTGTTGTTTGACATTCTCAATGTGTCAGGAGCCGACAGCCAAGATTCACCATCCCCCAAAAATGGGACTTTCCGAAAATAAGGGGTACCCTATTTTGGGGGTCCTTATAATAAGGATCCTACTATTTAGGGTACTATATTAGGGTCCCCTATTTTCGGAAACCCCCAAATCACCCCCGAAGTCGCACCCTCCTGACCTCGTGCGCCCGAGTAGGCTGGCGTTAAGGAGATCTCGAAGCCGCCGTAGCCATAGAGAAGTGTCGGGTTCCTGGATCTCGGCACTCTCTGGGACCCTAGGCATGAGCTAGGGTGGATGATATAAACCCTGCACTAATATAGGGGTCTTAATAAATAGAATAGGGTTTTGGGGCCCATCGTACTATAATTTTAATAAGGAGCCCCCAACATAGTATTGGCAATTATTTAGGCCCTTACTTTATCCATATTAAGGAATAGACCATAATTCCCGTAGTTTAGGGTCCTGAAGGTAATGCAGGATTTATATGTCAACAGCTTCGGGGCTTGGGATTTAGAGTTTCGGGTTTGGGAGCAGACTGATGTCACGGCATCAGGGATCAGGGAAACCATCAGGGCTAGTAGCAAAATCACGGCAAAATGCGAGGAACTTCCTATTCCAGTCTCGAGGACCGCAGTGTCACGCACTTCGGAGCTAATGACTCCGACCCCCGTAGTACATCCAGGACATTCCGAAAGCGCCCCAACATGGGACGGAATGTAGGAAAAAGAGCAGACGCAACTGCCTGCACATTACGCCGCCTAGGCCTGTGCCTGGACCTCCTGAAAACCACTTCGGTGGCTTAGGGCTCAAGGCTTTGAGTTTAGGGTCGCGGCTTTTCACTAGCATGTGCCTGAAAGGCAAGTCAACATCCAAATAGCTCTCACAGCTCGAAAGCAGATACCACGCTCTGAGCCCTCCTTTCAACACCCCAAAGGTCGTCCAACCGTTTCGGGTTTCACGGTTTAGGGTTTAGGGATCCAACCCCACAGCCCTAAAAGCTCGGGATGCTTCTCCAAGGCACTTGCCATCATAGGCCATGTCCTTCTTGCTAAGCTGGAAGTATGGCACCTTCATATTGCTTGAAGTTTAGCGCAGCATTCGAGTGCCAGAGACGTCCACAAGCCCCTCAGCCATTGTACGGTTTAGGGTTAGCCTGGGTTCAAGGAGCACAGCCTTTGTTATGACTGCCCCTGGTAATCCCATTGTTGCCGGGACTGTTGCCATGACTTGACTCTCTAAACTATGGTCTTTGGCCTGGCAATGCCTGATATTTCGGATGTCAGAAGGCTCCGTGTGCGATTCGGACTCAACGGCTGTCCGTCCTGCGAACGATTTGCCGCTATGCACATACAAGGCATGATCAGACCAAAGGATAGGAGCAAGCTGGCCTTCTTGGCCCTACTTGGAGGTTCATGGGTAGTTATAAGCGGGGCTATAAGTAGGGTAACTGCAATTATAACCCATATTAGAGGGCTTATAACTCCACTTATAACTCCCCACGAACCGCCAAGTACCCCAAACCGTAACCCTACACCCCAAGCCCTAACGTACGAATGCTCCAAACCCGTCAGCTCTGTAGTCTTGGCAAGTTCAGCCCCCGAGTGCCTTTGTACCGTCCAGCGATGTTGCGAAGAATTGCTGAACCTGCAGGGGCCAGGGTTTAAGGTTTTAGGGTTTAGGGAATAGGCCCCCGCCCCCCATCACCTATCATTCTGCGAATGGTCAAGCCCTACCAAGCATAGCCTGGCTTCAGAGGGGGTTTCAGGGTTCAGGGTCTACGCCTGCAACACCACTCAGGCCCCACCCCCGCCCTCTGACCTCAATGTCATCTGCTTTGTAGTAGGATGGCAGGGCTTTGAGAGGCGTCATCGATGGCAGCTTTCCGGAGCAGAGCTCCTCCTGAGCACGGCACTTGATGTTTACGGGGGCTGGAGCCCGAGTCGTCAGTAGTGCTATGGCAAGAACAAGAATTCTCATAACACTAGCTGAGATAATCAGACCGTGACAGAAAAATGAGCCACTCAGAGCCGCAGAATCGTTGGCCCAACCGTATGTGTATAGACCTATACAGACTTTTTAGGCGCATATATATATATATATATCTGTGTATATATATATATATAATTTTGCGTGTATATGTGCGTTTATATGTGCGTGTATATGTGCGTGTATATGTGTATTTATGTATGTATGCATGCATGCATGTACGTATGTATACATATGCATGTATGTCAACATTTATTCGTGTGTGGATATACATACTACTATATACACAAACATATGTATCCCTGGAACATGTATGTATAAGAATATATATATATATACTATGTACATCGATATATAATATATACATATAAAGAGATAGGTAGTCAGATAGATAGCTAGCTAGATAGAGAGATAGATCGGTAGACATGTATTTATATTATGCGCACACACACACACACATATATATATATATATATATGTATGTATATCTAAAAACTGTATCTACTCACACATACAGAGCTCCACTGGTCATTACGTGTACAGTGTACATCTGCATATGCACATGCATGATCTCATACACGGCTTCTTACATTGGATCAAGACTCGGGATTTGTGGTAAACACCTCTGTTAGCCCCTAAGCCTAAGCCCTAAAATTATGCAACCCTCAAGTTGCACCCAAGGTGCAGCCGCGGTGAGGAAAAGCGATGTGGGCCTCGTGTAGCCAGACACGGTGACCCAAAGATCGTCGCCTCGGTGTGTTGTCCAAACCAACATTCGAAATTCACGGATGTAGGGAGCTCTAGGGTTTAGGGTTGCAGGTCGCTCCTGCTGGCGCAGGACCGGTCGAGACAAGGCTGTCTGGGGTTGGCGACGTAATCAGACACTTGTTGAAATGACTCGAGGATTCCTATGGATTTTTACACTTTTCGACTCTATTTCGGCTTCTTTGGGCCAGAAGACTGGGCACCCAGCCAACGCGCCAAACCCGAAGCAACCAAAAACCCTAAACCCTATACCCTAAGCCCTAAACCTCCAAAAATCCTAAGCCTAATGCCCCAAAGCGTGCACCAAAGTCGCAAACATCGGCCTCCACAGCGTGAGGCTCAACACTCTCCATGCCAAGGCCTCGTTCGATGCCGCACTGCCTTGTCTCGCGGTGAAGGGTTTAGGGGGTTTGAGCACTCACTCTCGGACGGGCCTAGGCGAGGCTCCTGGCCAAAGGGTTTCAGCACTCACAACTGGCACAAGCCTGGCCTGGCCAAAGGGTTTAGGGGTTCAGGGTTTCGGGTGGTTCAGGGCAGTGTGCAGTGGTTTAGGGGTTCGGGTTTATGGAAAGTCGGACAGAGAGTTGGGGTGTTAGGGGTGTCGGGCAGGCTTTTGGGGATGTAGACTTCGATCGTCGCTTTGGGCTTGATCCGGTAGGAAGCGCTACGCCCTGAAGCCTTAAACCTCTGAAGCTGCCGCGAATATCAAGCTGTTCCCTAACCCTCCAGGTACCTACTATATAGGGTACTAGAGCCCCTAGGGCCCTATTTAGTAGGTACCTGGGGTGTTAGGGTGTTTCTTGTTTCTGCCGAGCCGCTCCCATGCGCCTTCTTTGTAGCGCCAAAAGATCAACTTGGTTTTCACATCCTCGAGCACCTGAGACATGCTCCGGATCAAAGACCAGTGTAACCCTAAGCCCTAAACCGTATAAGTTCCCTTTTCTGAACCCAGGCTCTTTGCTATAAGTTCCCTAAACCCTAAACCCCAATGAAGTTTTCGTCAAGCGCCCTCGAGCCAAAGGATCTTCGGATCGGCTGAGGAGGATTGATTCCGGAAACAGGAGAAATAGCAAAAGCTGAGAAGGAGTCCGAGAAGGAGTGAAGGTCCTTGTCACAATCGCAGTCAAGACGAGGTTGAACGGAAATGCTACTTAAGGTTTAGGGTTACTACACCCGGAGCAGCGAACTTCGACACCGCAAGGAACCTGCAGATACAGCAAGTTGCAAGTAAACGTGACAGACATCATGAATGCTCAAACAATGAACCATCGCCTTGGTCCGTCCGGCAGGTCCGACGTTGAGCTTTGAGCTTGCTTTCTTCGGGAACCACAGAGGGTTTGGCATGCGTTCGTTTGGGGTTTGATGCGGGGTTGTTTTGCGAATAGCAGCCATGCCAATACTACCCGTACTGGCCATCATGCTTGCATCTAGCACCTACGTCTAACCAATGGAAGAATACCTCAAATCCGGTACTCTACATCGCACCCCGAAATCAGAACTACTATCACCTTGTAGCTGCCGCGACCCCTGACTTAAGGCTATATCCTGGGCCTCCCTTAGGAATTAGAGAACCAATACCAAAGAGTCCCTCAACCCTACACCCCTGAACACCTAAACCCCAAAGCACAGGCACGGAAAGAATGAGATAGTTCCTGGTGCCCGTCGTGTCCTCCAGTGACTCAGATTCGCTAGGCGCAAAGAGAACCTGAAGCAGTGGGGAAATGAACGGGCCTGTTCCTCTATAATCAAGGGTTTAGGGTTTAGCAGGTTGATATAAAGGCTGAATATGGGGGGACTTAGCAATTAGAAAAGGGTCTGGGGATATACTACAGCATAACTGTAATTATGGGCCTTACTGTACTAAGGGTTCCTCTACAAGGGTCGAGGAAGGAGGATTTAACCATTTTTTTGTTCTTTTGACATACTGTGACATACTGTGCTACTTATGCGGCCCTTACCAAGTCAAGTGGGGCTTTGGATCATATTAAACTACAATATAAGTATATGCAGGAACCCTTAGGGATAGTAACTCTAATCTAACTTTTCTTGATACTATATCCAAGCCTATCATTCTAAACCCCATAAGAAACCCTGTATAATTAGCAAAGAGGCTTAACCTAAACCCCTTAAACCCCCAGTGTCGGATTTGGGGGCTGTGGAGCTTGGGAGGCCCAGAGGTCTCAGGGCATTCCATGGATTTGAAGGAATTTGCGGGCTCAGGGTTTAGGGTTTAGATTTAGGATTCGGTTTTGTGGGAATGAAAGGGCTCAGGGATAAGGGCTTTATTAGGTTTTTTTTTGCCAATTGATGGTTTAAGGAAGTCAGGGTTTAGGGTCCAGGGCCTTTCGGGTGTAGGGTGAAAAGTTAAACAACGCACGCATGATACACACTCCCATCCCTTCAATCTCTAAAGTCCAAAAACCCGTCTGCAGGGGCCTTAACAAGTGGAATAGGGTTTTTGGGATACATTATGCTTTAATTCATTATAATAAGGAAACCTCAATGATATGGGCACCTACATCTATGAAACCGCTCGGCCCTGAAACGCTTGTAGCTTCAGCGAAGCAGCTTCCAGTTTCGACATGTCGCCAGCAAAGAGGCTGTCAATGGGAATGGAAAGCAGCGATCCCTGTACCTTGGCGGGTCTTCTCAAAAACCCTAAACCCCAAACCCTAAACCCTTTTCCCGAAACCCAAAAAACCCTAAACCGATAAAAATCCTAAACCCAAAAAACCCTAAACCGATAAAAATCCTAAACCCAAAAAACCCTAAACCGATAAAAATCCTAAACCCTAAGAACCCTAAACACCCTAAACCCAAAAATAGCCCAGAGCTTGGGCCTGGACATCGTGGAACGCAGCTGCCGCGACGTACGTCCGATATGGGAGTTTCCGAAAATAGGGGGGTACCTTATTTTGGGGTCCTTATAATAAGGATCCTACTATTTAGGGTACTATATTAGGGTCCCCTATTTTCTGAAACCCCCATATCTTCAGTGCAAAGCTCCGTCACGAACGTGGAGCTCTAAATTTCCCACACCGAGACGCCACCCGGAACTTTTGTAACAAGCTTAACCCTAAACCCTAAACCCTAAACCCTTCTGAAGCGGTCCCAAACTCACAGCATACGCACGCAGAAAGTGCAGTCGCAAGTTCGGGCAACACCACGATTTCTTGCTGTAACGATGATCCATAATTCCTACTTTCCAGGGACCTACCGTTTACCTTTAGGGATTACACGGAATAGGTGTACACAGAGAAGCACTTGCCGGCAAATGGCTGTAATTCTGACCCAGACTTACCTTTTACTTCTAAGTGGTTTTACGGCACATGTCTACACGGCGAAGCACTTACCGGCAAATGGCTGTAAATATGCTCCAATATTAACCCTTACCTTGAGTTCAAGTTAGACATGCCATTTGTTTACATTCCCTTACTGGGCCATCCGAAAATCCTGGAATTTGGCTTGAAAGCCAGAAAGGTTTAGAGCCGGCACACAAAGAAAGGTGCCGTTTTGCCACAGAAGTACAACCATCTTTTTTTCAGTTTGGTAAGGCTGCAGTTTTGAGATCTTCAGAACTTACGGCTTGTGGACCCTAAGACCAAATCAAACCCCTAAACCCTGCACATTGAAGTCAAGCAGAATTTCGATTCCCATGTTTTCGGGCAGCTGCGAGAAGCTAGCATTCCGATGCCACGACTAGGATTACTCTAGACCCGGTATTGCTTCGGGAAGAAGGCGCCCCATGTTAACTAGCCCTAAACTCCTCTCTAAAGAACTCTTATAAGAACCTTGGTACAGCCTCTATAGTACTCCGAATTCCCTAAACCCTAAACCCTTATCTTATTTATTTCAGCCCCTTTGGTGACTCTAACAAGGGGCATAGGTTTGACCGCCGACAGTCCAGTCGCTGCGAAGAGTCAGCTGAAAGCGATCACCTTTGGTTTGGTGATCGGTGGAGATTTTCTACCAGAGCTTGAGGAAAAGGAACACGGAAAAGGCTGCAAGTTCGGGAAAGCCATCTCCTCAGAAACGCAGAAAGCCCCCCACCACTCTTCTAGCACGAACATCTTGGACATCAAACCCATGGAAGCGATTGGCTGTATGCCTGGGCGTCTTTGAGGACCCTTGGCGTGAGACTGCACCAGGGATTCTGTGCTTGCTCGTCCTCCCAATCTTCAGATTGGAAGGGACTTCTGTGCAGAAAGCTTGCGGCTTTCAACTGTCAACCATCGTGGCAACATGCGGCACTGTGAGCCATCGGAGACCGATTAGAAACGGCTGTTCTTGGAGTACCCATGTCTCCATACTCTTGCCTCGTGTGTGCGACGCAAAGGGCATCCTAATTGCTGGCAGCAGTCGGCGCAAACAGCTGCTACCAAACTGTGCAAACATCGATCTCTAGCGAACTCTTTCTGAACCCTCCACAAAACCGGTCTTGATGCAGTGGCATGTTGGCTGACGAGCCCTCGTCTCGAAGACGTCAGCCAATCATACAATTAGTTCATATCTGCGTAAGTTGGTACTACAGACATGAAGGTGAGTCGCAGAAGGTGGACACCCGCATGTCGTCGGGAACGTCAACCTCTCGTCATTTGCTGAAGGCTAAGGGCTTGGACCCTTTCTACCATTGAGACTATCCTCAATGAAGGTTATGACTTCGTCATTGCTACTACTGTTTTGGTTCGTATGGTTCATGTGATGATTATTCCAACGGTTACGTTTACCAGTGTCACTGCTAAGGCTTACTCCTATTATCATCACTGTTGTACTTGCCAAGGCCATTGCTACCGTTGCTACTGTACTGCTACTGCCGTTACTACTTCTACTACCACCACTACTAGCACTACTGCTGCTGCTACTGCTACT